TTCTCAATGGAGTCTGCTTATAACGAAAAAAAAATCTCAAAACACCACTTACGTAGAAAAGCATGACACTGTGACGTAGCCGTCACGTTCGGAGTGAACTCGAGCAAACAACTTAGCGCATATCCAGGCTGCGTCAATTCAGTGCACTTCTTCATCGCTATAACGAAGAAACTTGAAGACTTATGAGATCTGACATAAGGTTTTCTTTGTGTGGGGCTCACCTGGATTCTTGTCGATCTCTTCTTGGCAATACTTCACAGCCGCCTGAGTGAACCGTTCATCTTGGGTAAGTTTGACCTGGAAAAATCGTGAAACAGGTAGAACTACAGCTTACAACATTGATGCACTTGTAATTTCCTCGACAGCACTGAAACAATCGATTAATGGTAACTGCTCTTTATGCATGCCGTTTTCTACGCACTAAATGGTCAGCTCACACTGCATCCGGGATGAATTTAAGGGTAAGAAAACAGGAAGCAAAGCTTGGGCGCATCACCTTGAACTGCTGGAAAGCTTTTCAATTCTGAACTTCCTATTTCCCTTTTACCTGGTTCGATGCTAGCCCTTCTTCCGACTACCACGGAATTTCCATTTCTATCAGGAACTACGATGCCACATTTTACCGCAGTCCTTCCACCGATTTGCGCCTTCGAAGATTCCGAACGATAAGCATCTCTCGTTATTTGAATATAGCAAGAACTACTGTTTGAAAGAATGTTGCAGGATTTACATAGCTGGCAAACTTTTCTGACTGCAAGGTGCGTAAGAGACCTATGGGTGCAAGGAGAGCGGCGAGAGGGGAAGGTTGCCGCCTAATATTTAACTAAACAAAATGATCGCCTTCATGCTAAGCCGAGGCGAACGCGGCGCTCACATGGACTGACAACATAATCCTCAATCTATTTTGCCCGTATCCTCGTATTCCTTTCACAAGCACTCATTTACTCGGTTTCGGTAATCTAAGAAATTATACTCTGGGCTCACGCACATTTCAACAACAAAAATCATTGCTCTTAGAAACGTGGGGTACTGCCCAGGGAGCCAAGATCTTTCAGGGTTTATGCAAGCGTAATTTTCCGAATTCCGCCGACTTGTACATCCGCCTCACAGTTCGTCACAGCTCATACCGCTTGACTTCACTGCACAGAGCGTGCACGAGACATGCGGCAGGCCTCACCGCATCCAGATTACTTGAGGGCAGAATTGAGCATTGCATGAAAACCAAATAGACGTTGACTATCACTTCACCAAGGTCAACGCGTTTCTTGACGCCCCTTGACCCTGCCTCGAAGTAGACTGAGATTTTTTGAAGCAGAGTAGTGCAACTTATAAAGTTTTGTTTTAAAGAGTGAAACTACTCTAGCTGGTTCATTATGTATGGAAAAAGTATTCAACATATTTGGCATGCTGCATTTGCGAGTATCCTGAGTCACCTGATAGGTGTGATATCCGTGTTCCACCCCTATCCAATCAAGTTTGAAAGAGTACCTTGTATTGCCAAACCAGGTCCTCACATTGGCGAGTAAGCGTCGCTGATTCAGTTTGACCAGCATCTTGCAGACATTCCAAAATGGCAAGATCACTTTTTAAGTCTATTCCTTCCTAAATAGCGACACAATCTTATATAAGGACAGAAAGATAGATTCAACAAAAAGAAAACGTCACGAACCTTGTTACAGAGACGATGAACATCTTCTTTGCAAGCATCGAAACTCAACAAGTTTCCGTCGCTGGGAACAGCACTAAATCAATTATCAGTTGTATTAATCTCAATACATCATGGCATACCTGCCCAATAAACTAATTGATTACATTCCGTATTGGTTGTGGCTGGGTGCTTTCTAATTTCAACGACGTTCATTGTTTCAACCGCTTGCTCCCCACGCGCTGACAGCGCTGGACACTAACGGATACCGCTCACGCGGTCCTGATCTCAATCTGCCCTGTGTTGTCAACGCGTGGCCAGCAACGTGGTCGGTCGATCGGTCGTCGGTTGAAACAACGCATGTCGCTGAACTCTGAAAACAGCCACTCATACAGTGCCACATGTATTGTACACAATGTCTATGGATTAGAGAAAACTGCAGTCTCTAATGGCAGTCATGGATCTCGGTATTCAACAAGTCTTCTGTAGCGTGTTAACTGGGTACTTTTCAGAAAAACTGTCGACAGAAGATGCTCACCCAGCTGCAGGATTGTTGGCTCCAGGTGGAGGAGGCTTTACTTGTTCGTTTTGGCCTTAAATAAAAAAAATTAAAATGGGTTCCAATTCAACCAAAGACGTACTACACGAGGGCGACACAACTATTATATTCTACATAATTAACTTACGAAAGTCAAACCGGCCACCTGCAAATGGTTTATTATAAGGAATCTGATCAACCAACAGATTTCTTTCATTAATAAATAGTACTTTTTCGTTCAAAAAAGCCAACAACGCATAACCATAACTCACCAAATATTGGAGCGCAGAATGCCGCTAAGCAAACGAGGATTACTGCTGCCCGCTGCATTGGCCGTCCAACAGTAATCGCTACTGCAGCTCTTAAATTGTAATTATATTATACTCGCGAAAAAACAAGAATATGCAACAAACGATGACGACCGGAAAAGCAAATTATTGTCAGTATCCATGCACTCTCAAATAAGAGAACAAGAACACGGTCAGAAGAAACAGTGGTAGTCGAAAAGGCGTGAGCACAGGCTCTCTCATTATAGCACTTGGCTCTATGATGACGCATTGTACATTTTCACAATAGTTCTGATTCATAGTTCAAGTTTTGTAGATTCCCGTGGGCTCTTTAAAAGAATTCCGCAACAGATCAACGAAAAGAAGCCCTTGGCAAAATACGAACCTCGGCAAAATGACTAGTATAGGATATGACGACCGAGAAACGTTCGATACATTGCTTTCGTGGCAAAAGATCATCGCTAGCAAAATGATTACGTCAACAACCCTGTTTGGCGAACAACTAAAGAGGATGTGCCCGATACGTTCTGTTTGTATAAAAAGCGTTCGGTGGCAAATCGAAAAGTTCGTATTTGCAGATCCGAAACAATTTACCACCCAACATATGAGTAATATTGATCGCCAGAACAAATGACAAAACAGGCGAATTCATCGACTTTTATTGTACTATTGTTCAAGGAATATACAATGGTAGGTT